TGAAAAGCCTCCGCCTCCACGAGTCCGTCTGAGGCCATATTGACGACTGGCAAAACCCTGAGAAGCGGAGGGATGCTGCGAGCGCTTGCGAGTGGGAAAGGCCGGAGGAAAGGGAGGGTTCCGAGTCGCAGAGGGAACTGGCGACTCCGCCAGTTTGGCTTCACGGTGGGCGGGAACCGGTCTACAGTCATCTGGGAAAGTTGCTGCGGGGGCGTCAAAGGGCTCGGGTGGGAGCCCCGAGGGCCTTTGTGAGCATGCGCAATAGCCACGTTTTCCCTTTTCCTTTCCTGTGCTTGCTTAGGGCGGGGTGGGCGGGTGGTTGGGTACACTGGCTGTTCTCGGTAAACCTGACAGGGCATTCCAGTTAGAAACTGCCTGAAGCTGTCAGTGGAAGCTGCTGACCGGGTTTTGCTGGAGCAATGGCCTCTTCTTGTGTGGTTGACAAACCTGGGTTCAGGGCCTACAGGTTCTCACACGCTAGCTGCCCCACCTCAGTGGTGTTCCCTAATTTGGCAGCCTCGTTTCCAAAATGGACTTCGCTTAGTATTAAGGTAAAGTGAAAGCGTTAGTACTTGGCACGTGGCACTCGTCTTACTGTATCACAGATCATGTATTTCTAAAGCAGCTATTTGGGATGCTGTGATTATCTTATAAACTAGTATAGTGCCCTCCTTCCTGCGTCATTTACATATATTACATATTCATAACGTTGAATCACGTCCCGATTGAGGCACTGAGGACAAAATTTCTAATAAAACGACCCTCACTCAAACTGAGTATGTGAGATAATGAGGCTCGCACAACTTTTAATTCCAGCGTTATGCGCATTTGGGAGCATTTAGCAAGCGCTTTCTTTACATTCTGCCTCCCATGTCTTTCACTTCCACGCCTCCCCCTCTGTCTAGTCCAAGAGTAGACAGTCTGGAAGGGAAAGGAGAAGCCTGTCTAATTCGAGTAGGCACTGTGTCTCCTACGGGAGTATTTGGAGACTGAGTCCAGAATCTTGTAAGCTGTTCTTGGGACAGACCCTTCTAATCAACCATCAATCAAAAAGTGCACAGCCTTCTGTGCCTCTAAGCAAAGTAATACCATTAAGAATCAAGAAACAGATTTAGTTTGCACTGTGGGTACCAATGCAAGACTGGGTAGCATTAAGTAATAAAGTATTTTGGCTCCAGCAAACTTAGCTAAGCTAAACCTATGCGATCCTTCTTTTGACCGGAAAGCAGAGACCACCTCAAAAGGCCTTAGTACACAATAGTATAAAACTTCCCATCTTTTCACAAAATTGCTTATATTTTATTTTATGTATATGGGTGCTTTGCCTGATTGTATGATACTTCTATATACTACATGCATGCATGGTGCCCACGAAATCCCGAACAGAATACCAGATCCTCTGGAAATGGAGTTCCAGACGTTGTTAGCGATCATGTGAGTGCTGGGAACCAAATCCTCCTTCTGCAAGAACAGCCAGTGCTCTTACTGAGCTCTCTCTCCTGCCTATCCTCCCATGCAGGTTTGTTATATTTTCATGTGCAGTAATTTGCAAGAACATTGAGGAAGCTCCAGGCCATTTTCTCTAGTGATACTTTTTTTTTTGGCCAAGAACTTGAAATAAATGAAAAATTACTGTGTGAGAGTGGGAAAATACTTAAAACTATAACAACAATAACTTTCAGTTATTAAGAATGTTACTAAGAATGTGTCAGTTATTTCTTTGATTCTAAAAAAAACCTGTGGTAGGTATAATTTTTTTTATAAATGAATTGTAGACAGATTGAGCATTTTAGTAACGCCACAAAGCAGACATTTTAATATAGGTGTCTTTCTTACTATTCTTTCATAGTAACAATAGGATACAGAATGGGAACTCCATTTCACATTGCTGTGAAAAATTGGCAGATCAGTGCCAAAAACTGTTTTAGCCAATATTTCACAGGTGTATACACATACAACTATAACAACAAAAATGTATTTCTCATTATAATGTTCTTTAGATAAACCACACAAATATAAATTGTATTTCTTTTAAAATACTAAATTTAGTACTATTATGTGAGAGATTCTGCACAGCGTTTTGTGCTTATGGAACAGTGTTCTTAGGGATGACGAATATCCTAATTTTTCAGCATAGAACCCAGCTTCATTTCTGTCACAGCCTTCACAACTCCAAGAAATAATACCTTAGATGTCTCAGGTTAATTTCATGTCGTATTGTCCCTTCTTATTATCATTTGATGTAGCAGCTGCTCCATCCCATATGTTTACCATCTTGGTAGTCAGTGAGGATTTTAAATGCTCATGAGATTTCCTAATAGAATGTTTAGTCCACTTTAACTTGGGATTTTGCAATTCTGCAAGTCACAATAGAATAGGAGAGTGGAGAAAGGCTCAGTGGTCAAGTGCTGCCATCTGTTGTCAGAGTAGTCTTTCTACATTTGTGGCCTTGTGTTTGCTGGGGTTGGAACTTGTCATTTCAGTACTTGTGACTTTTGTTTTCACATGGCTTAAAAGAGACTGTGATATTTCTACTTTCAGTTGGATTGAAAGATACTTTGAGGCTCGGTGGTGGGGGCACACACCTTTAATCCCAATACTTTGGAGGCAGAGGCAGGTGGATTTCAGTGAGTTTGAAGTCAGCCTGGTCTACTAAGTCCCATGACAGCCAGGCAGGTCTGTTACACAGAGAAACCTTGTCTCAAAAAACAAAACAAAACAAAATTCTTCCAATAGCTCATAAATCATGCTTTTGTGATTTAAAATAACATAACACAACTAAAACTAGTCTGGTTTTATTTTGCCTTTATTGTTTTGAGACAAGGTTTTACTACATATCTTTGGCTGTCCTGGAACTTGTTGTATAGACGAGGCTGACCTAAAACTTCTAGCAATCTTCCTGTCTCTGCCTTAGGATTTCTGGGATTTAGACATGAGCCACCACACTCAGCTTGACGATCTTATTTTTTCATATTGCATTTCATCACTAAAGATAAACAGAGTGAAGACTGAGGAAAGTAGAGGCTGGTGTTTTCTTTGGTAGCTAGACAGAGGCTATGAAGTTAGTGAGCAGTATAGATTCTTCTAGAGTACCACCAACTCTAATGACACTGGGAAGTCTATAGAAACTTCCTTGCGCAGGATAGAGAGTCTATCTGTATTAAACTCTCCTCTGTTCCAGGCTTTATACTAAGCATCTCTTGTTCCCATTAATTTCCTGTAGCCCTGCCAGGAGTAGGAAAGGAGATTAAGTACTCTTGATAGTTATAAACAGTTGTATGAAGAATAAAGACATGCAAGGAAAGTTCACTGCCACTTTATTTGAGCAATCTGGGAAAAAAACTCAGAATATTGTATTTATTTTATATTCACTATATCTATTACATAAAATTGCTACAATTTATAATTTTAAGAAAGTCACACAAAAGAAGTAAACTTGAGCCTTTCTGGGCAGTTTGCTCAGCCTTATTCTTCCTCTGTTTCTTTTAATATAAATGAGGGAACTGATTGTTGTTGCATTCTTAAAACATGAGAATTTTAGTTGAGAGTTTTAGGATTAGCTCAGCCTCTCTGCCTTCCTTCTTCTCCTCATGTGAATCTATGGACTCCATTCCCATTTAAGTTTCTACAAATACTTGCAATAGCTCTTTGTGGTGTTCATATGAAACACCTTGGACTGTAAACCCTAATCTGTTTATACTGAAATCTCTGGTGCTGGCCTGGGAGATGGCCTAGTGAGTAAAATGGTTGCTGTCCAAGAATTAAGGCCTGAATTGAGACCCTCTTTTAAAAAGTTAGATGTGAGTCAGGCAGTGGTGGTGCATGTCTTTAATCCCAGCACTCAGGAGGCAGAGGCAGGAGAATCTCTGTGAATTTGAGGCCAGCCTGGTCTACAAATTGAGTTCCAGGACAGCCAGGACTGTTACACAGAGAAACCCTGTCTTGAAAAAAAAAAGTCAGATGTGGTGGTGTGCATGTGTGTGATCCCAGTATAGGGAAGCAGAGACAGGAGGCCTCTGGGTCTTTCTGGTCAGCCCATCTTGCTGAATCGGTGGTGTGCATGTGTGATCTCAATGCTGGGAGGTAGATACAGGAGGGCTCTGGGTCTTTCTGGTCAGCCCAACTTGCTGAATCAATGAGATCGGTTTCAGTGAGAGACCTTGATTCAAAAACTAAGTTGGAGAATGAGAAAAAAAGACACCTGAGGTCACCCATTAGCCTCTCTATATTCATTAATTGGTATGTGTATTTGCACACACAGACACACACACACACACACACACACACACACACACACACAGAAAAACCTCAAATTCCTCAAATTCTAACCTAAAATTTGGGCTACAGGAGGAATGCTGTAACTATGGATATCTTCGATAGTTAAGGTAGTCTACTATTTACCTGGGAAATTCTAAAAGCAGTTACTTTTCAAACATACCTTTGATACATGCAACAGAGCATAGCTAAATAGACTTTTATATTGTCTAATGGATTAGACATATTTCAAAAATACACATTAGTCTGTAAATTTTAAGTAATAGTTTTATAATTTAAAGAGAAAAGTTTATTTAACAATATTCTGTGTTATTTTAGCTTCAAGAATTATTTTTCCTGTTCCACAATTAAAGCTTCCTAGACACTATTTTGTATATAGACTTTTTGTATATAGAAAAGTTCTCAATCCCTGTTACTATATCAATTTTCCTTTGTACTGTTAAGACTAGCTTTAAGTTCTTCTCCACTGTGACCTGCTCCATACTCTTGGTTTACCCTCTCACACGGCTCATTATCTAAGGCCACTATCTGTGAATGGCTATCAGCATTTACCGGTCATCGATTCTTCCCCTTTATTCCCTGTCAAGTTGCTGTTTACTTCTCAGACTGCTGTCTTTACAGATCAAACACAAACTCCCCCTCACTAACCTCCCCAGTTTATGTTTCTAATAAGTTACTTCTATCAGCACCTTCCCTGCAGAAGCACATTTGGAATACCCTTCAACCCTTTCTTTGCTTTGTACTTTGATTTTAAAACATAAGAATGCTTCGACAGAACTTCTTTTGAGACTTTCTTTTGTAGCCCAGGCTGGTTTTGAACTCACTATTCTTCTGCTTCAGCCTCTTGAATGCTGGAACTGTAAGAGTGCACCATCATTCCCAGCTATCTTCATTTTATATGAGGAAAAAAATGAGGTGTAGAGTATTTTTTTTTCTGTTTTACTCTAGCACATTTGTTCAACATGCTTCAGAATAAACAATTTTGAAAGAATCATGTATACATTTTTTAAAAATCCTTAATTTCTTTTTAACCTAAGAAATCCATGTGTTCTTACTTTTGAAAAGCTTTCTGTTTAGCGTTTGGCTAGTCAGTTTGTAGCTAGACCATGAGCTGATACCCCTAGTGCCAGATCAGGTACAATTTAGGTAAGTCAATTTCTTTTCTGAATTTCAGTTTTCTGTGGATAGCAGGGAAGAGGTTATCGAGTATTTCATCTCTAAGTTTTCTTCTCATGTTGACATCCTGTGACAAAAATTAAAATTCATCAAAATGTCACAAACATGAGTGAAGTCCTCTATTATTCCTATTATAACAGGAATAATCATTTAAAAGAAGTTTCTACAGAGTTCTTCATGGTGCTTTTAGTGGTAATGGCTCCCAAAATATTATAATAAGATATTATGTAAGAGTGCAGGCCAATTATTTTTGATCCTTGATTTTAATAACTCAGGAAAGGTCAATATTCATTTGCGTTTTCTCAAGCTTTTATTTTTTTAAACAATGGCACTGCTGATATTTTGTATTGCAAAAATTCCCTCCTATGGATGATAGCCTGTCCTTGTAGGATGTTTATTGGCACCCTGCTTACTATCCACTAGAAGCCAATGAGAGTGTCTCTTCCTCTGCAATTTCATGTTTCACTTTGCAGATGACTCAGGAAGGGCCCTTATGCTATTGGACTCTATTCTGGTCATAACTTAAGGAAAACTTTCTTACCATGCCCAGGGATCCTGAAATCCTGCAAACCAAGGAGGAAGAATTCCTCGAAGCACTTAGGTGGCACTTGCCATAGTTTCCAGACACAACAGCCACATGGACAAAAGAAGTGGTGAAATCTACATCATAAATCAGAATACAACCTGGGAGAAGCTGCTGCTGAGAGCTCAAACCATTGTTACCATGGAGAGCACTGCTGATGTCAGGATCATCTCCTCTAGGAACACTGGAGCTTCACAGAGTTACTGCTGCCACTGGAATCCTTCCCATTGCTGGTTGCTTCATTCCTAGGCCCTTCATTAACCTGTTTCAAGCCACTTTGCAGGAGTCATGTCTTCTAGCAGTGACTGGTTCCACAACTGACTAGCAATCCCTTGCAGAGACCTCTCATGTACACCATTTCATGCAGCAGGAGAGCTCCCGCCAACAGTGTGATGGTGTGAATGAGGACTGACCTAAAGGAGTGAGAAGGAAGTGGATGGGCCTGCTGCAAAGGTTGTGACCATGGAGGAAGGTCAGGGTGTATGTAGGGTCTGTGCCACCTCCTGAGTTCACTGTCGCTCAGCCTGGGGTGGCAGACTGATCTGAAGATATGTAGGAGGCAGCTGAGCCTATTCCCTGAAAACTGGAGTGCCAAGGCAGCTACTGGGAACTGATCTGTAATTCTCACTGCTCAGGCCACTAAATGAATTGGAATGGAACAGGTCTCTTCTGCAAACTCTTAAGCATAAATGGAAAGAAGGTAGATGGAAAATAAAGTTTCTCAAAAAAAAAAAAATACCTTGAGTAGAGAGGGAGAGTAAAGTTAAGTCAGGAAGGAAGCTGGTTTGAGAAGCTGAACCAAAGCCCAATCCAAGCCCAGTTCAATTACTTCCTTGAGACTGTTGTTTTCTGTGCTGAAAGATTAAACCCAGGTTCTGGGATGCATATTGAATAGAACTGTTGGGCAAATCATTGTATTTCCATGTTTGAGAGATACATAGTAATCCTTTATTGGCATTCCCTTCCTGCAGGAAACCTGGAGCAAACATCAAAAGTGCTCTGGGGTCCTCTGATGTAAAGAAAACATGGCTTATCCTTGGTCTTAGGGACTCAAGTTCAGGAACCAGAAACCTGAACCGTATGTGGCTACATCTTGCTCAGTATGTCAGGAGGAATAAGGGACTCCTATGGTTATTTTTGTTTTCTAACAGGGTCTTGCTATGTAGAACAGACTTGCCTGGAACTCACAATCCTCCTGTCTCAGACTCCTGAGTGCTGGAATTATGGTGCTCCATCATGCCAGGTCTATGGCTATGGCTATTTCCTAGCACAATAAATAAGTAAAGGAGCCCTTAGGGTCCTGATTAGATACTACAAACCATGAAAGCAATTTAAAGTCATCTGCTCAGCAGCATACACACACCTGTCTGGTGAGCACTTCTCATGTCCTTTCAAAGCCTAAGCATATAAAGGGGCTAGAAAAACAATGTTTAACTTTGGGACAGGACTAAAGCTGACTTTCTTCTCTTCTTGCTATCTTTCTTTCTTAAAATTTTTATTGCATTTCTGTGTGCATAGGGAGCAGGCATGCGGAGTCGGGACAGCTATTGTAAGTCAGTTCTCACCTATCAGCGACTAAATTCCGATTATCAGGGTTGTCAGCAAGTGCCTTTACCCATGGAGCCATCTCCACTGCCCTTTTTATTTTCTTCCAGTTTTTTTTTTTTAAATCAGCTATGTATCTTGATATTGGAAATTTTTGAAAACTTAAAAAGTAACTATTATTGCACAAAAGCAATAAGGCAGTTAAAGGTAGAACATTGATGAAAAAAACTTTTTTTTAATCACCCTTTGTCTCTGATAAAATTAAACAACAACAACAAAACCTACAAGCAAATAGGAAAGACACATAGTACTGGTACCCTGGCTATCAGATCAATCAGTTATCGGGTCAGTGGAACTGGTTTCAAATAGGGGCTTTTCTACATTAAATGGTTGCTCTGGAGGATTCTGCTGTGGCTGAGCAGCATGATAAAGCTCAGTTCTCTGTTAAACACTTCCAAAGGCCTCAGCAGGGACGTGCTGGGCAAGATAAAAAGGCACCCAGAGAATCACCCTGGATACACGACCCTGTCCATCTACACTCTTCCAAGATTTCACAATCAGCAAACCCCTCTGAAGAAAATAGAGGCCCTTTGTACCATCATTACAAGAAGATAAAGATAATAACCCTATTTAGTGTTTTGTTTTTAATAGAGTTAATATTTTTGAGTAAGAAAGATGTTTTCCTGAACATTGTATTTGGGTGAATTAACAGATAGATAAACCAAGTTCCTTATCTGCGGCTCTAAATATTTCACATTGCAATCCATTGTTTCATGTAGCAATAAAACAACACTGAAACAGTAACAAGTAGAGAAAAGGCCTGTTTCCCCTTAATAATTAATGTGAGAAGAACACACCTGCTTGCTTAGGTCCTGCAAAAAATGGTTTTAATACAGGGTCACAGAAAATGCAAAGGTTTTATGGCCCACTATAAACCAGCTCTTTGTCTTTTCCCACTAATTCCTTAGTGTCACATTTAACAAAACGAGGAAACTGCAGATAATAGCAGTGTTTGCAGATTAGACTCACAAGTCATAAATAACATAGGGTTTTGTTCACCTAGAGATATTAAGGCAGCTTATCAATGCTTAGGCCCTTCCCCTTTGTAATGATTGCTAACCCAGGCAAATGGAGCAAATGGGGTTTCCCCCCTCTGTCCTCTCACCCTGACAGAGTACACATTCATAAGATCCTGTTATCAGAGTCCATGGTATAAAGAGTACGGTGTCACCGAAACTGTTGCTTGCTACCCGCAACCTTCTGTGTTAGAAGATGCATTTGCTTTGCGCTTGTCTTCTTTGGTTCTCTCTTAGCAATGGCCTCAGCGCTGACTGTCCAGGGCGATGTAGCTGTGAGTCCATGCAGTTTGTACAATGCTACAGGCTCATGGAAGTACCTTCAGGCATTCCTTCCACCACCAAGAGTCTCTACATTAGCCACAGCAAAATCCAGCACCTTCAGGTAACTGTGTCGGTCTCCACTGAAGTAACTACAGTTTTATTCTTGGGGCAGGGAGTGGGTTGAGTGTGGGGATTTTTGACTTGACTCTTCTTATTCAGAAAGTGCTAATTGTCAGGGTGAGCTGTTGTACTACCTGCTTGCTGGGCAATAGGGAGATGCTCTATGCCTCTGGGGATCTCTTTTGAAGGAGTTAGTCACATACTCCCTGCCCCCAAAGTCAGAATTTTATTTCAATTTTTCTCCAACATTAAAAACCCAAGCTTTTACAAAGCACACATGAAGAATGGGCTCTTTCGCAAAGAGCACACTTCACGGAGAACAAGCCCTTTCAAAGGAAAAGGTTTCATGAGTTAGCAGAACAGAGCATCAAAAAACTATCAAGATGAACTGGCAGATCAGACTCACTCATATGAATTCACATCCAGTTGGGTTCCTGGTCTTTGTTAGAACCTAGGTGGAGATGCTTGGCTTTAATTTGTCAAGTTACTTGCAGTTTTCATGATGTGGCTTGAATTATGACTTCAATTTTCTAGTTTCTGTATCCAGAGGACACTGGACACAATATTACAGATTTGCCTGAATTTTATAAATTAAAAGACATTTATCTTTGATCTTTGGTGTTCTGGAAGGTATCAGGAGACAAGGCCTGTCTCTAGTTAGATGCATGACTATCTTAGACAAGCTGCTAGCAAATCTCTGCCTTGTTTTGTTTGTTTGTTTGTTTGTTTTTGTTTTTTCTTGATGAAGTGAGAAGGCTGCATTAGATAGGTCCTCTTCTAGATAGAAAAGTGGCTGTCTGATTTTCCCTTCAGTATTCGCTGCTACTGGCTCAGAGGACTAAGCTCCAAGACAAGGAAATAGTTCTCTGAGAACTAGAGAACTAGACTCTCTCTGAGAGAGTTTAGGTGAGGCTATGTCCCCTCCAACTGGAGGTACCTATGCACTTTCATTTGGTTGTGAATTTTTCCTTGTGGTGTCTTAGTTTAACATAAATGTCCAGGCTCAACAAGTACAACTATCTGCATCTATTTGCTTTACTCTAATAGTACCTAATACCAGAGAGCAAATCTGACCTTGCCTGCTGGGTCTTAGCATTTAAACAAGGCAGCTGGGTAAATGTGAGACACTTAAATATTTGTTCTGCAACCTCAGCTGCCTGCAGAGTCTGGTAACGATTCTGCCACTTTGTTGTCTATTGATGACTCATCAAAATCTGTTCTTGAATGAGCCAATCTGTCACCTGTTTAGACTTATTGAACAGTAGTATTGCCATCTCCATGACTTTAAGGGCAGGTCACATCAAAAAGATTGATGAAAGACAGATTGTTTTGTTGAGGAAACAAAGAGCCCCAAGTGACCATATTTCACTTGTACACAGTGAATACAATGTATATTCTTTTTAATTAGTGTGGACTTAACAGAATTAGGTGCACATATGTAAAGAAAACCATCTTTGAGTAAAGCCTCAGATTATTAGTAACTTAATTATAAGCACTGATATAAATAGCATTTAATGGGTTTATTATTTGTTCATGCAATTTAACTGTGTTTGGGATTGTGATGAATCTCATGCTTGAGATTCAGGATAAAGGACTAAAAATTCTGCTTCTGACCTTAGTATAAGAGGAATTTTTCTTATTGGATTTACCTGTAAATTTGCCCTATTTCTCTGAGGTTCATGCTTTTGGCCCATACTTGTCTTCCTTTTCCTTTTGCCCACTTTACACTACATGTCTGGTCTCTTCCCTGTTAAGTCGTTGTTTTCCCCACCACTCTTCTTGGGAGTCTTTAGTCTCCATGTGATGCCTCGTCTAATGCCCCACTCTCATGCCTCCTTGTTTTCAAATGTATCTTTCCTCGGTTCCTCAGCCATCTTAGTTCTGTCACTTGGTTCTATGAAAATCATACGCCACACTTCCACTCAGAAAATCCTGACTTCTTCTCCCCTCACTTGCTTCTCTCTTACCTTATGGAGACTTGGAACCCTAAATTTACCCGTATTTTCCCAGATACTGTCTATTTCCCATCTCCCTCCTTTCTCTGCTGCTTCTCTTTGCAGTCCCACATTTAATTATCTAAACACCCTTCCAGCAAGGCCTCACCCTAAAAAGAGGGTGCTAATTCTCCTTTGTTTCTTCTATACCTAGACAAGTAGATGCTGCTGGAGATGTTCACACAATCAGATGGTTTGGAGCCACCATGAATACAAGGTCTCCAACCTCATCTGTGTCCATTCTGCTGACAGATCATGACAAAATTCCATCTTCCTTCATTTCTTCTCAGTGTGTACTAATTCTATGTTCTTCTCACCTCTACCCAGACCTTGCTCTGGTATTCTCCACCCTGACATCAGCAGTAGCCATTTCCTCCCTAGCTCTTTCATCTAAGTCACACATCCGTTCCTCTTATTACAACAGTGAAGTCCTCCTAATTTTGGTCCTTTTTTTTCCCCTACCACCTCCCTTGATTTCCCAATTCTACACCTATCTCAACTTCTTCACCTCATTTTTTTTTTTGTTCTGAGACAGGGTTTCTCTGTGTAGCCTTGGTGTCCTGGAACTTGCTCTGTAGACCAGGTTGGCCTCAAACTCACAGAGAACTGCCTATCTCTGTCTCCTGAGTGCTGGGATTAAAGATGTGAGCCACCACCGGCAAAGCTATTCCTTTAAAGAAAATTGTGTGTGTGTGTGTGTGTGTGTGTGTATGTGTGTGTGTGTGTGTGTATCCATGTGGAAGTCAGAAGGCAACTTGTGGGAGTTGGTTCTCTCCTTCTACCATGTGGGGACTGGGGCTTGAACTCAGGTCCTTGGGCTTGGCAGCAGATGCCTTAACCCACTGAGCCATCTCTCAGGTCCCGTCTTCTTTAATTCTCTGCTGTCTGGCTCTTTCCTATTCCATGTAATTAAAATTCTAAATCCTGGTGGCATACTTCCATTTTCCAGAAATTTGCTATCTCTTGCCCTTTGTGAAACTATATATACACACCTCTCCATTTCATCTTTTTTGTTCGTTTATTTTTCCTCTATGGTTCTCCCTCCCCTTCATCCCTTTTGGAGTTTCTCAACAAGTCCTAATTATAAACAATGTCCTTATGTGACCTCAGTGTATCTCAGTGGTGATGGCTCCTCTACCTGAATCTCTAATACAGAGCTTCCCCCATATTTCAGATTTATTCAGCTGTCACTGGGATTCTTTACTTAGATATGAATGAGGATCTCAAAACAACAAGCTCAAACTGAATTTAGTCTTTCTCCCTATACTTAAAGTCTTCTGTGATTGGCTTCTTTCACTTGACAGAATATCCTCAAGGTTCATCCATACTGTAGCCTACTTCAGAATTTCCTTCCTTTTAAAGGCTGTCTGGATT